GTGTCTTGTTAGGGGGCATCTGAAGGGGTTGTTCACGACTGCAGTCTGCTGGATCTTGAGGGAGCAGTTGTACTTGGTTAGATGCACATGAGGAGGAAAGAGAAATGGCCATGCAGTCAGTGGAATAGGACAGAGAAAGAGCATAAGGAATACTGCGTGTGGAAGGGATGATAAGGAAGACAAGAAAACAAATGTTTTCTGTACAATTATTGGATGAGATTCTTTGTTTTCTTCTGCAGGAGGCTAGAGAAGAAAATAAATCCCAGATAGACTTCCAGCTGGCTACCAGCAAGGTATGGGAGGAAGATAGACTTTCCTCATTTTACTTTACTTTCCAGGTCTTAATCAATGGCAGACATGAACCTTTCTTTGCTAAGAGAACAAGTGCATGAATAAAGGGACATATGCTTTCAGGGCAAAATGGCCAAAATGAAGACCAGCTAGAGCAAGCTTCTCAAACTCAGTATTGTTGGCATTTGGGGCTAATAATAATTCTTTGTTGTGAGGGTTGAGGGCTGTCCTGTGTAATGTGGGATATTTAGTGGCATCTCTGATTACCCAGCCAGTGCCAGTAGTACTCTGCCCCTCCTTCTCCCAGCGCCCCCCAGTTGGGAAAACAAACCAAACCAAACCGAACCAAAGCAAAGCAAAACAAAACAAAATGTCTCCAGACACTGCCCGATGCCTCCTGGAGAGACAAACTTGTCTCTAGTTGAGATCTACTGCTGTACAGTAGATAGAATGACCTAGCGTGGTTTCTTTATGCCAGGAAACTTGCTGAGCCAAGGTGAAGATTTATGACCTGAAAAAGGCAACCACAGCAGGTGTGGAGCTTGAGAAAGGGTAGTGTCTCTGCCCTGAAAGGACCTCAGGGTCATGGGCATGTCTTGTATCTTTGAATCCTCTCCCTAGGACATAGCACAGTTCAAAAAAAACCCTGGGAAATAGTCTATAAATGTTTGTTGAATGAATAGGATGTTTGCTTAGAGTCCCAGAGTAGCCTCCTGTGCTCAGAGAAGAAATCATAAGGACCAACAGCTATTTACTCATAGCTGTACCTACTTGCTGGTTTATTGTGTGCTATTTGAGAGTCTCTTGAATATTGCAGAAGTAACCAAGGATACCAGTGCGATCACATGCAGCAAACATATGGGAAAAAGAATAGAGCAACAAATGTCACAAGGCCTGTTTTTCAGGTTTATTACCAGAGTGTAAGGTTTAGAAGACAGAGTGTGTAGAAAAAGTAGGGCGAGAGCCTCCCTTAGACTAGAGCTAATTTACTGTCCTAATCTTTGCAAATTGATAATTAGACAACATGCCCTTGACTTTTGCATCCTGCTCTATTCAGGAACTGCTATATCTTCTCATCCAGGGAGCAGTTCAGAACTGCTGAGTCCCAAGTGGCAGATCTCTGCTTCTTCACCAAAGACGTGGCTAGTGAGTAGTGGAGGGAGATGCAGTGGCCCCCTCAGGGAGGGGAGGGGAGTTTGGTGTGGCAAAGATGCAGGATGGACCCTCCTTCTGACAGCGTGATGATAAAGTACAGGATGAAAACAGCCAGCTTTGGGGACTCATTTGATCCTCCTTTCTTCATATTTTTTTATTTTTGAGTAATATTTATATTCAACATATCCCTTACCATCAAGAGTCAAACATTCTGAAGTAAGGATTTGAGGAAACTTCTCTTTGGAAGATCTTTGTGCAAAAGATGTAAAAATGAGTGTCCTCTGAGGCAGGCAGCTTTCCTTGGTTCCTCTACGGTATGCGGAGTCGGTTCCGTGATACTCCGTCAATACCAATGCCATATGAATTCAGAGTCTTGTACTCCAGTGCTAGTTGACGTCTTCTCCTGGATATCTTGGAAACATCTCAAACATAGCATATCCTGAAATGGATAATTTCCCTTCTCCTCTCCAAACCTACTCTTGGGTTCTTATCCATCTAATTCAATGGCAATTCTATCCTTCCACTGGCTCAGGTTAAAACCCTTGTAGTCATCCTTGACTTCCTTCTTTGTCTTACACCCTATTATTCCACCCCCACTAATTTTGAGATCTGAACATTTCTCATCACCTGCATTGCTACCATTCTGATCTGAACTACTGAAAACAACACAATAACCAAGATGATAGGTACTTATTTTTTGTTTGAGAGTCAGAGAGACAGAGAAAGGGAGAAAGAGAACACTCCCATCCACCGGCTATCCCCCCAAATGCCCACCAGAGCTGGGATGAAATCAACAGAAGCTGGGAGCTGGCAACTCAAGATAGGCCTCCCACATGTGTGGTAGAAACTCAGATACTGTTGCCTCTCAGGGTTTGCTGGAGTCAGGAGTTGGAGCCAGGACTTTATAAAGTAGGTGTTTCTATCTAGGACATGAGAGGCTTAACAACTAGGCTAAATGTCCCTATGCCAGGATGAGATTTTTAAATTGTTATTGGATCTTACTTGAAACCTTCAAGTGTCTCCTTATCTCATAGTAAAAAAACAAATTCTTTACGTGGTTTTCCAGCAATCCCCAACCTTTATCTCTCTCACTCATCTCCTGCTAGGCTGTTCATCACTCACTCACCTCCTATTTACCTTTTCTTAAGCATTTGAGACATGCTCTACCTATTCCTGCAGCCTGTGGAACTCTTCCCCCAGATATCTGCATGGTTACATTTGGCCCCTTCAAGTCTCTGCTCACATGTCACCTCACAATGAGACCTACTCTGATTATGCTACTTAAAACTATAACCTATTTCTGTACTCTCCTCTTATCCTCTAGTACCTTTTAAAAAAATAGCATTTATTAACTCTGAATGCTGTATTATTTATTCACTCCATCTATTTTTTGGTCTCCCTTGCTAGAATGGAAGCCTCACAAGAACAGCGATCTTTGTTTATCCCAAACATCTAAAGCAACATCTCGTGCATAGTGAGTGCTCATAAATATTTGTGGTTGAATAAATACCTCTTTCAAAGCGTGTACTGGCTGTTTACTTGGTCTGTCTTTCTGCCCAGACCGTGAAATCTTTTGTAGAAAGTAATCAATAGAATGCCCTCCATTGCAGTGGTTACTACTACTCTTTTCCTTAAAGTGTACCCCTCAAATTGTGTGAGCTTCAGGCCCCACAAAACCTGGCCTGCTGCATATCAACCTGATGGAATTGCTAGGAGAATTAAAGAGATAATGTGCAGAGAACTCAAACAGTGTCTGGCATTTGGGCATTGAAGGCTGTTATAATTTATGTGCCTCCCTTGTCGCATTGTGATTAGCTCAGTGGCTGGAAGAGAGTGGGGGCAAAGGAATGTGTGTGCTGATGAACAGAAGAATTGAATGAATGAATGTATTTCAATATGAGAATTCAACTATCTGTTTGGGTTTTGAGTGTTGAGTGCCACTCGCCTTCCTTTTAAAAATTAGTTTCTCTCTTCATGGATGTATCAAGAGACATATAAAAGAGTTAAAAAAAAAATCACTTGACAAGTGATTATACACCTATCAAGACTGTAATGAGAAGGACATAGTATTCCATTACCTTTTTCATCTGCAAGCATGGCTAAAGGTTAGAGTCCTTTATTATTTTCTCAGTAGTCCTTATCACAACATGGTGAGAAAACACGGTGAACACAAACACAAGATAAATGACAGTGACGTTAAAAGGAGAATTCTTAAATTGCTTCCTTTTTATTTGTCATATGCCTACGTTAACACGATCTGGATCTGAATTTCCCTACTGTTCCTGCCTTCAGTCTTACCTGTCTCATTACATTGACTTTTTTGTACCTGTCATGTTTATATCTAACGTACTAGCTACATAAATATATTTTAAATATCTATCTGTGATGGCTGCTTCTATAGAGTGTAGCAAACCCTCTGAAATAAAACTCATACAAGATAAGTAAGTGACCCAAGGGCTTACAACAAACTATTGAGTAGTTTTTGCTTTCTTGGTTCCTATTTCCCTCTGAATGCAGTATGATTTGGCTTCTGACTTCATCATCTAGCTCCTAACTGTTAAGTCACCTTTGAGGGGCTCTCATTCCGCCTGGTGTCTGCAGCATTCTACCCTGGTGACTGGCTTCTGAAAAGCTCTGATTTTGGATTGGTAGCAAGTCTGGTCCTCTTTTCTCCTTCTCTGTTCTTAATACTGTTCACAAGCTCCTTCTTATTCTTCAGAGATCTGTCTTTGTTTCGTGCACTGTGGCCAGTGGGTAGGTTCATATTTAATCTATACATAAGTAGCGCCACAGTCTATGTATTCTGATTTATCATGAGCTGCAGATCCAAATTTCCAACAACCTGCAGGAAACATCCACAAGAATATCTTGCAGGTGTCTCAGACTCAACATCACCTTACACTATATCATGCTGTTCTCTACCTGGAGTGCAAATTGTCCTGCTTCTGTGTCTCTCTACTTCATTTTAAGGCAGCACCTTGAATTGGGATATTGGAGTCATTTCTGAGGCCCTCTCTCAACCCCTGTCCTTTGTCTTGCATTCCACACAGTTGTCATCTACCTCTAAAATATTAGCTCAAAAGCATCTGAAATACCACTACAACTTCCTATCTAAAAACCTTTACTATCTCTCTATCAAAAAGGACATTTTTAAACACCACAGAAGGGTTTGGTGGCGAAAATATTCTCGTGGAAAATAACTAAAGGGAAGATACCACGACTCCACAAAACATTGCCAATGCTAGAAAAATAAGGGCTTTTGACTCTGAAGCAATGAGATCTAGAAAAAGCATCTCTAGAATGTTGTGTTTATTCTCTAAGACTCTCTTAAGACTTTGACCTTACAGCCTACAGTTTTAAAAAATGTTCTTCCTCATATTTTCTCAGTTATGTGTAAGAGGATTTGAAACAAAGAATATATCTAGATCAATATCTGCCAAATAAAGCTCTTCTGCTACATTTAGTTTAGTAAACACCTCTCTTCTCCACTTCAGAGCCCAAGCTGGAGGAGGAGGGAGGTGTTAGAGAGAAGCTGGAGGAACCAACCACTCCACAGGGGATGTGGCTGAGGGACAAGGCGGTAGGTGGCATGACAGAGGTTTGTTGGTCTAAACCACACATCCTGGCACCAGAGTAAATGATAAAAGATCCAGTCTATCGGCAGGGTAATGTGAAATTTCCATTTATTTGATAACTTATGACATCGTGTGAAACAAGCATAGAGCAAGAATTTTCCTATGTCACACGTGTTGTATAGAAATGACCTCACTCCCCACAATATTGTTCTAGATCACTTAACCCTGAGTGATTTAGCATAGAGAGAATGCAATCCCTTCCAAAGTTCATGCACCATTGAAGAAAGAATCTTCCACGTCAACCTATTATTCAGTGTGCTGTGGGTTTTCTGATCCACATCTTGCTCTGTGCAAAACTGAAAAAAAAAAAAAAGAGTAATGGATCTGTCTTTTTCCACCTGATGGGTTAGCTTTTATAGCTGTACTCTATATGAAGGCTCTTTGGCCATTCAGCAATGCATGACTTGTTAATGCCATTTCTGATTGACGTTTTGCACGCAAATGGCACTGGGTAGTCAGTTCATTCAGTTAAATACTAAGTGTCCTTGCTCTCTAAGCTCTACATATTCTGGCCCTCTAGAAGAAAAACCCACATATGTACATTTTAGAACTTCGTATAAAGTAGGAGAACATCTTCATATCATTTAAAGTGTGTATAGTAAAATGCTGACAGGATGACATGTTTTATGAAGTTGTCTTAAACCTTTTCTGGAGCAAGGCAGTTATACATAATATATAGGCAGCAAAGAGGAAAATGTGAAACTTCTTGACATAAACTCTTCGTTCATGTATCTACCGTGATGGGTAACAATGTGTTTATGACCTTATATTCAGGAGTTAGTAAAACAAACCTTTACAGTGAAAACTAAGTCCCTCCTATGATGTGGAAGTTTACATATTTTGTGTCCTTATGCCACTAGGATGTTATTATCCAATGTCAAGTACTAGTAGATTTAATGAAGCCTGAACATCCATTAAAAAACCTAATTGACTGCCTATTATATACTAGATAATGTTCCAAGTACTGTGAACAAAACCAAATCAAATCTATGCCTTTAGTCGGGATGGGCTAACACAGAGTGTGTGCTAACTGCCCAACACTGATTGAAGTCCTTTACGTATACCAACTTTTCAAATCTCTATTTCCCTGAGATGCTTATTATCATCCCCACTTTACAGGAGAGGAAGCTGAGGCACAGAGATTTTAATAGAGTTGCCAATGTATACATTGATAATAAGTGTCAGAACCAGGTTTCACATTCAAGACATCTGATCTGGAACAATGAAAACCAATGCAATGGAAGTGTAATTGGTGACTAACGACTCTGACAGTTTTTCCCAGAATAGCAACTCATGAGTGGTTGTTTAGCTGTAACCCATAACCAACATTGCCATTGATTTTGAAGGAACAGGTTCAAGGAGTTACAATATAGGTCCCAGTGCAAACCTCTCTTGTTCATCTATGGCACTTGATCAGCTCTTCTGTCGTATCAAAATGATGAATTGTTTCTCTTAGAGATTTTTGATCTCACGTATCATCTGGTATTTTAGATTAGGAAGCTTTAGTAACATCTCTAGAAACCATATTTAAGAGGGAAGATCATGTTTGTATTCAAACGTTGAGAAACATATTATTTTGTCACTGTATCATTTAGGATGCCATGCCACCTGAATAGGTCTTTGATTAGAGTAACACAAAGCATGTCATGAGTTGGTTGACATTAAGACTGGCATGCAGAAAGCCACTGACCTGGCTTACCACTGGGGAATGCTTCAAAAAACTGCTCATGATAATAATGTTCACATTGATGTGCTTTGAAGGAAATGTGTCTCATGTTAAAAACTGAAAGTCCCTTCAAATGAGGATCAGTTTTGCACGTAACCTTAAGAAGAACCAACGTAATTCACGACTGAGTAGCACCATCATCGAGAGGATAGAGCAGATGAGGTCACATACAGGCCTGTCAATTGTATTCTGTGGCCTGACACCACACCCCTAAGTCAGGCCAATCAGGAAGTTGGGTGTCAATGATCAGTGAAATCCTTCACACTACTAGAAAAACAACTCACATACCAGCCTTAGTAATGAATTTGATTGGTTCTTTATATGTGGGAGAAATTTTATATTGCACCTAAAAGGTTGGAAAGCTTTCACATGTATGTGATTTGTGAAAAGCAAAAAAGTCTTTGGGATACATTCTCAAGTCAGTTCCTTGGCTTGGTTATGCCAAGGTCAAGCAAGTAGATTTAATATGTTGTAAATATAGGCATGATGAATTACAAGAAAATGTCCTGGGTGTGATTCTTAAACTTTAGGTTACTATGCCATTTCAGGCTACATGGCTATTAATATTGATAAACTAAGCCTAGAATTGTTCTAAAATCAGCCCCACCCTCATTCTAGGCATAACTGGTCAATCTTTTAGGGGGAGGCCAAAATGTGTGTGTGCACTTGTGTATGGCTCTCTTATCAATAGCGTTAGTACACAGGGAACATGAGAATTAGATCCAAAGAAAAAAATATCAGATTGGGCTAATGTAGTATTGTTGTGAGTTGAATCCTGTCCCTTGAAAAGATAGGTTAATTCTTAACTTCTAGTCCTTGTGAATGTGACCTTATTTAGAAATAGTCGTGTGGATGTAATCAGGTTGAGATGAGGTCACACTGGAGTAGGATAGATGTAAATGCAATATGACTGATGTCTATGAGAGAGCAGTCACATAACAGAGAGGAGAACAGCACCATCAAGACTAACACATATTCACACACATGCGTGCACACACACACAGAAACATGGAGGAAGGCCAGGTGATAACAGATGATGGTACAGCTGCCACCCAAGTGGTTGCTGGCAATCACCAGAAACTAGATGAGGCAAGGGAGAATTTTCCTCTAGAGTCTTCAGTGAGAGCACTGCCCTGTGGATGCTGTGAATTTGGATTTCTATCCTCCAGAACTAGGAAGGAAAAACACCATTTCTGTTCTTTTAAGTGACTTAATTTGTGATTCTTTGTTATGGCAGCCTTTGGAAACAAATACAGAATCATATCCTGGTGAACTGTGTGGGTCACAGTGGGAAAATGAGAAGCTCTCAGAATGAATCCCAAATGTTAACACACAGACATGTTTTAAGCTCTTTGAGCTCAAGAGTTAAAGTAGTCCTGCTTTTGCAGCCTCTAGTTCCAGTGGAGTCAGTTATGAATCTCCATGGGTGTGCATAGTGGATCTGCCTAATGTGATCTTACAGACCTTCTAAAGGGACACACAGAGTCCTGTGACCACTTTGCCAGCCAATCACTGTCCAGCTTTGCAGATGATGCTGTCAGGTAGATGGTAGGGTGGTGAGTACATGTACTTATAGGGGGTGAGGGAAGGCATTGTTGCAGGAGACTTAGCCACATTGTTATAATTGGAAGTGGTAACAATGCATTGTGTCCCTACACATTGACTGAAGAGAGAAGGTCATGATCTCTGTTATCTCAAGAGATCCTCTCATTTTGGGCAGGAATGAGTGATGTGTATATGCTAGCAGTAGGGGCAAATAGTCTCTTACACTTTGATGTGTTCTTTTCTTGGGGATCTCCACATGAATCACTATGGTCATCATGCCACCTTTTGATGAGCTGGTATGTCAGCTTCTGATTTCTGAAAGCAAACGGAGATGAAATTTAGTGTGCAAGCTATTTATCAGAAATTCGTTCCTGAGGAAGGAAAGTGGAGAAAGCAGAGAAGGGCAGAGGAAGTCTTGAGTCTTGGCTAGCCCAGCAGGGAACTCTGGCATGGGTACAGCCGTCAGAATTGTTCCAGGTTGGGCCTAAATGACTGAGTCTTCACATCCCTACCATTACCAGCACATGTGGTTTCCATGGGAAGAGCCCGACTCTGCTCTGTAGAAGGAGTTGACAGCCATAGTTTTGTCTGCTGATCATACCCTGTGACTGAATAGAAAATCTTTCTGTGAAAGGAGACTGGGGAGCACATCTCTATGTCTACTACAGGTCAAGATTCACTTGTGTGACTTGAACCTATAAGGTCTTTGAAAGCTGTTGAGGGGTTATTGGTGTTGAGACTTGTGGGAAATTCATGAAGGAATATTCTGGAAGAAGAATAATATGATGAGTTGGTAGACAGACCTATCTGTGTCAAGGAGATGTAAATAGTTTTCCATCAGCAACTTTTTTTGATGTGCATCATTTGATTATCTAGGAATATACAGAGTGGAGAATGGAGAAAGCACTGAACCCCTTCAGCAGTTGATATGCACACTGGGAGGTGAGGTTACTGATAAGATAACTAAATGTGCAGAGGCAGAAGACCTCCTTGTAAAATAAGGTAAAAGAGCTAGAAGTGGATAGGTAAAGCAATATAAAGGAAGAAATGTTCATCACAGGATGGTATTATGATCAGAAAAGAAGTCATTCATTCATTTATTCCAAAGATGATCCTTGGGGGCTAGTGTTATGCTGTAGCAGATTAAAAACCAGCACTTGGGCACCTGCATCCCCTATTAGAGTGCCTGGTTCAAATCCTGACTATACTGTGCTTCTAATCCAGCTTCCTGCTATTGCATCTTGGAGACCTAGATAGAGTTCCTGGCTCCTGGTATTAGTCTGGCCCAGGCCAGACTATTGTAGGCATTTAGGGAAGTGAACCAGTAGACGGAACAACTCTTTCTGTATGTGTCTCTCCCCTTCTCTCTGCTGATCTGCCTTTCAAATCAATCAATCAACCAATCTTTAAAAAAAAAAAAAAAGATGAGCCTTGAAGAGTGAATGAGGATTATGTGGGTTAAGAGGAAGGAGGGGAGAACTGTAAGTAGAAGGCCCTATGCCAGGGGATCCTGCATCCTGTCATGATCCTCACTGGCATTCCATAATGGTCTTCCTTTTTCTTCCCATTTACTGAAAAAGACAACAAAAATCTCCCTAGAAGACATGAGGGCATGGCTAAATACAGAGACTGTCACATGGTGGAGCAATTTTAAGAAACTGGAGCACAGAGCACAGGGATGTCTGTGGTATGAGGTGAGGCAGGGAATCAACAGAGTGCTGATAGACCACTAAAATGGCATGAGGCAGGGGATCAGTAGGGTGCAGATACAACACTGCAGTGGGGGAGCTTCCTTCTAAGGCCCAAAGGATGTCTTTGAAGGGGTAAGCAGGGGGAGTAACATGAGTGAGCTGTGTTTTAGAAGGGTTGTTCTGACAGAGAATGAAGAATTAATTGAAAGGAGGCAAGACTCAAGATTAGTATTTTGAAGTGATTTAGCACAGAAAAGATACGGAATCAGCAACGGATGATAGATTAGATTTTGAAAGTTAAGAACAGGGAAAGGTCAAGGCCAGACATGATTTCTGGTAGAAGAGCAGTACAAAATAAACTCATCAGGCATTTGTGAACTTGACATTCATTCTTGATTCTATTCTCTTCATCTATGATGATACGGTTCCTAGAAGGATGATGGTAATCACGGTATTAGAGAAAAGACTATTTAATTCTTCCTTTTGAATGGAAGAAAATATACCAGTATGGGGTTTGAAGTTAGAAGCTCGGAATGATATGGAGAATTCACCTGCCTTTTAGTTTCTTTTTTCATAAAATGGGGATAAATGCCACCCACACCATTGGACTGTCATGAGAGATAACTGAAATAATGTACATGAAAGCTTTGGCAGTGCTAGATAGAGCTGGCGCTAAGATTTTCATTCATTCAGTTGTTTATTTATTCAATGTATTGTGCAAAACAGAAGTTTAATGTCATATGATACTTCAAAATATATTTTTGATGTTAATAGTATACTACAAAAGTTAAAAAAAGAAATTATTGCATCACAAAATATTATGAACCATCCACCTACAATCTGCAAGGTACCATGATGGTTAAATACATGCAAGGCATTCTTTCTCTCCATAAGGGATTGGTAGTCTCTTGCAAAAGACAAGGTGGTAGATACGTGAAAGGTATAAAACCAGTAAAATACTTACACATTTTTTAGAGATCAGAGAAAATCAGAATTAGACAATAATGACAGTTGCCAAGTTGGATTGATGAGACATACTTACTCAGAGGAAGAAGATGGGTGCCTAAAAACCACTCTAGGGAGAGGGTTGAATCTAAGCTAGATTTTAAAGATGAGTTAGATTTCATAGTGTAGATCAGGTATCACAATCTACTTCCTGGCACACTGCCTGTTTCACTATGGCCTGTGAGCTATGAATGATGGTTCCATTATTGCAAAAGTTTTAAAGCAAGAATACTATTTTGTGATATCCTAAAACTGTATGCAATTCAAATTTAGTGTCTATAAATAAACCATTGAAACACAGTCACATGCCTTTTTTTTTTTTTTTTTTTTTTTTTTTTTTTTATATTGTCTGTCTGCTTTGGAGGTACAATGAAGCTGAGTATTTGTGGCAGAGGCTCTGTGGCTGCAGAGTCTAAAGTATTTATCATCCAGTCCTTTACAGAGAGTTTGCTGAGCCGTGTTGTGGAGGATGAAGGGAGATGTTCAAGGGGCACAGAATCCCAAGATTGAGAACAATTCTGTTGGAAGAAACAGAAAAGGAAGAAGGATCATGCAGGATCATCATCACAGCTGTGCAGAGACAGGAGAGTGTCTTAAGAAACAGGCGCTGTCAGTGACACCATACATCACCAAGAGAGTTCAGACATGCACCCGAGCAAAGGATAGAAAGTTGCGTTTAGCCATCACTTGTGAGTTTTGAATTCTGTGGAAGGAGTGGAGCAGAAAGACAGTGGGAGGCAGAGCTTAAGAAATGGGATGAAATCAGGGAGAGTTCAGTGGGGAGATAGCCATGTGGTTTACGTTTAGTATAGAGTTGAGTGGGGTCTGTGTGTATTTGTATGCAGAGGGGAGAAAAAGCAAGCAGAGGGAGATTTTGTGGAGCCTATGTAAAGAGACGCTGTTTGAAGAATTGAGAGCCAAGAAACATCTGGTTAAGATTTATTTTTTAGCTAAACCTGTAAGTCATCTCACTCCAGAAAAGTATCATTGAATAAACTCCCTTCAGGTCTTTTCCGCATAGAACAAAACATGATAGATTCGACAGTCAATTTTCTAGAGTTTGAATCTGTCCCTATTTCCACTGATTTGTTGCTGGCCTTATGACAGTTGCTTAACATCCTTGCTAGATTTGCCTCTCTATGAGCAGTGAATAATAATGCATTCATAGGAGGATTGTTGTGAGAAATACTGGGATTTTTTTTTTTTTTTGTGGGGGGAGGAAATGTCAAAAGCATAGGTCTGTCAGCTATGAATGAACACTGTGCTTGTTAGTTTATATGTCAACTTGGTTAGGCATGAATGTGGGTGTTGTGAATTTTTTTTTAAAAGATGTGATTAACATTTAAATCAGTCAATTTTGAATAAAGCAGAGTGCTTCCTTAACGTGGGTGGGCTGTGTCCAACCAATTGAACACCTTTAGGGAAAGACTGAGGCCTCCCAAGGAAGTAGGAATTTGGTCTACACATACACACTCACACTGCACACACACACACACACACATACACCCTGAATGTTGGTTGTTTCTTTGGAGAATACTGCTTAATATGAGTACAAATCTCATCTAAGGGGCCAGTGCTGTGGCGTAGCAGGTAAAGCCACTGCCTGCAATGCCAGCATCCCAGACGGGTGCTGGTTTATGTCCCTGATGCTCCCCTTCCTATCAAGCTCCTTGCTAATGTGCTTGGGATAGCAGCGGAAGATGGCCCCAGCGTTTGGGTCCCTGTTACCCTGGCTCTGATTTTAGCCTGGCCCAGCCCTGGCCATTGTGGTCATCTTGGGAGTGAACTAACAGATGGAAGAGCTCTCTTTCTCTCTTTCTCTCTGTCTCTCCCTTTCTCTCTCTCTCTCTCTCTGATTTTCAAACAAATAAATATCTTAAAAATAAAATCTCATCGAAGTTTGACAGTGTAACTAACATAGAAAGTGTTACCACATTCTTTAAGAAGTACTTGTTTTATATTAGTTGATCACAATGCTCTTTATTGCTGACAGTAGATGTGACCTCAGAATTTGTTCAATCTGATGCTCTAGAAGTGACTAACAATTAGAGTTGGCACTCAACTTGCAACGTATGACTCGACCCATATTTAGCCATTTACAACATTTTTCATAGAATTCTTCCCTGGAAATTTGCCATTGGGAAAATGGATTGGAACTTGCATTTCAGAAGATAACATTTTGATTTCTTAGGCACAATCCTATTAGTAAAATCCTTTATCTTAGGAAGTAAGGACCATGTGGTCATATTTGCCTTTTTGATAAGTTTTTAAGAATTATGTTTTAAAGGTATCAGTGACTTTAAAATTGCAAAATGAAGTAAGAGAGAAAAAAAAAAAAAACTTGAAAGTATACTTTCCTATTTGCTCCAAACCTCATGCAATATTTACACAACATTTGTAAAACCTTAGCTTTCATCCTTGGTTAAGGCTTTTGACCAAGTATTTCTGTCACATGAATATGTGTAACATTTATCAAAATCAAACACATGCACAAAACGGAAGGCTAAATTTTACCTTCTGTGAAGCTCTTGATAAGAGATTTACTCATGAAGCAGACCAAGGTTCCTTAGCTTTCCAAATTAGTGTAGACCTGCTATGGAAGAATTTGTTTGCCCTGTGTATGAAGAAAACATAGGCTACCCTGGAGTGTGGTGATAATATCAAGTTTCTATGGTATCGTTTTTTTCCAAGTATTTAAGACTCTTCAGATGTTATCTTTCCAGTTTTCACAGCAGGCCCAGGAGGAGGAAGGACATGTTGTTCTCGCCTGCCAGTGAAGTTGAGGTAAGCAGTTACTCACGCTCTTCTTGCATAAGCCTCGGATTGAGCCGGGGAGGTGATACCAGAGTTCTTCCATTCACCAGTCCGTTGTTCCCCTGCGGTGTTTCTTGTAAACCCATTAATCTCGGTTTCTTTTTCCTAGTTAATGACTACATTGCTGATTCCGCTTATCTGCTCTGAGGGAAAAGGGAAGCACAGGACATATTCGCAAATGGTAGATGATACAAAAATAATTTGGATTTGGCGATGGAATATGTTTTTGTACTTGCATTGGAACCTGGGTGTGTCTGGTGTTCTAGAAATTTACAGCATTCCGATCCAATGGAAGAAACTATGCAAGGAGACCCAGGGTGGGGATGGTCACAAGTGCACCTAGTTTGTCTCTCTGGTTTCCCAGCCCACCTCTTGTCTTTCTGCTCTCTGCGGAGGTCAGATGGCACCAGAGCTCACACTGCTGCATGGAAACAGCTGAAGTCAAGCTCCCTTTCTTGTTCTCGGAATCCTATGATGAGACATTCATTTTATTCTTTCTCTGGGAACCAGAGAAACTGGTATCTTGCATTAGGAATTGTTAGTCATTTCTTTTCTTTTTCTTTCTCTCTCTCTTTCTTTTTTTTTTTTTTTTTTCCAGTGCAAAGGCACTGATGATATACTAAGGAAATTTAAAGCAAGATTTTCCTGAATATGTACTAGGAAGATTGTAACAAAGACATTGCAAGCTGTGTGAGAACCAGATAAAGACAAATAAATGAAAGTTCTTTTAGAAAAGGAAGAGTAATTTTTTCTTTTAAATTTTTTGATGGAAGATAATAAGTTCTTTTCCTATATTTAAGTGCTTGTTCATTAAAGAATCAAATATTGCTTCATATCTACTCAATGCTAGGACTATTAATGACTAAATTGACAATAGGAATTTGCGCGTAAACAAACACCGCAAATTGAAAGTCACAGGATGTTAAATAAAAGTTGCAGGAGACTATTGTTTTGGAGCCGGCTCCCAACAGACAGGGCTAAAAATCAAAATGGAGTCAATCATGCTAAAATTCCAGCTTGTCAACCTGAAACCGAGCAGTTGAGCTGAGCTTCCCAGAAATCAGGATTACAGAGATAACAGCAAAATTTCCCAAACAGGCCACTTCCTTTGGTATGATAATTAAGCTCCCTCTGCCTTAATCCTTACCCGAAAAGGTAACATAAGGTAACCTGATTCTAACAAATCCGTTATTTTTCCATTGTTCTGTCTCCTGCCCCCTCCTTCCAAGGTTGCCCCTTCCTTCCACTGGTTGGTTTTTGCCTCTGCTTTCCCCAGCTCTTTTCTATGAAAACTAACCTCTGCCTGACTCACTGGAACATGGAGCCTATCTAGTAGGAAGAAACGTTGCTCAAGTCTAGAATCACAAAGCAGTGAATAGCTTTAAACTGGAATTGTCGTAATTTTGCCCTTTGACAGAGAGCGTGATGGAAGCTTTGTAGCATGCTTTAATTGATCATTGATTTTTACATAAAAAGTGTAAGCAGTTACTATGTGACAGACATGTTGCTGGTTGTTAACACTTTTTCTCATGATTTAGTTTCTTCATTAACTAGGAATAGTCTGAAATGACACTGATCAACATTGTTTTTAGCTTTTGTGTTTAAGAAAATTGTAAATGCACGTAACTCAGTCTAACAGTGGGACAAGATTTATTTGAAAATCATCGTTCTTTCTGTATCTTCTTCCTCTCTGGCCTCTGTCTGCACATTCCCTTCCTCCAATCTTTTCCATTTTCCTTTCTTCATGGGCAAATGCTGTCACATCTGTTAACTGCTCTGGGTAGGGTGGTGCTTACCTCCTCTCTAAATAATGTTTATATTCCCATCTCTTCCCTCTCCCATTCCATTCATCCAGGTTTCACCCTTTCTATCATTGATACATTTATAAAAATGTGTATTTATCTTCATCTACTTAAAAGACAAAGGAACAGAGGGAGGGGAAGACAAAGAGAGATGTCCCTCCTCTGGCCTACCCCTCAAATGCCTGCGAGAGCTAGGGCTCAGCCAGGTCAAAACCAGGAAGCCCAGAACTCCATTTGGGTCTCCCATGTGGATGGCAGGGCCCCAGTCACCTAAGTCATCTCTGCTGCCTCCCAGGATGCATTAGCAAGGAGCAAGATTGCAAGCAGAGCAGCTGGGATTTGAATTGGTGCTCCGTTATGGGATGTGGGCTTCGTAAGCAGCAGCTAAGCCCACTGGACTGCAATGCCCACCCCACTTCTGTGTTTTAAATTGAGCTGGGCTATGATTTTGATCCTATTAAAATTCAGCCTTTGTATGATTATTATAGAACAACGTACTATATATTATAATGCTTTACTATATGTGTATTAGTAGAATGATAGAATATAAGCATACTGTTAGTACTTCTCATTTCCTACGTAAGTTTTGTTCCCTTCTGCTGTCCTTCGGGGATTCCCTTGTCTCTGTTGTTTGTGGATTATAGGCATTATTCGTCCTTGGTTTGTTTCCTCATTTTGATATTGCATATCCTCCAATTGCTTTCTGCAAATCCGTGCAAGGCAAGCAAATACTCACACAAACAGCGCTGTGTAATGCAGTTTTGGACAATGGTGGGCCGCACATGCCAGTGTTCACATAAGATTGTGAGGCAGCTGAAAAATTCCATTGGCCTTGTGACATAGCACAATGTATTACTCACATGTGTGTGATGATGCTGCTATAAACAAACCCATTGCTCTGCCATGCAGCAACACAGTTCTGTACAGCACATAGCACTTGATAATGATAATAAAGGACTCTGTTCCCGGTTGGTGTATTCATACCATGTTTTTTCATCATTATTTTCGTGTGTACTCCTACTTATGAAAGAAAGTGTGCATTAAACAGTGTGCCCTCTTATGCTGGCGGTGACCTCACGTATCTTGGGTATGATTCACACGGTAGGGGGCTGGCATTGTGGCACAGCAGGTTAAGCCACTACTTGGGATGCCTGCATACGATATCAGAATGCAGGTTTGAGTCCCAGCTCCTCTACTGCTGATCTGGCTTCCTGCTAGTGTGTCTGTGAAGGCAGTGGAAGATGGCGCAAGTGCTTGGGCTCCTGCCACCCTTGTAGGAGAATATGACAGAGTTCCTGGCTCTTGGCTTTTGCCTGGTCCAATCCTGGCTGTTACAGTCTTTGGGAATGAACCAGCAGATGGAAGATCTCTTTCTCTGTGGCTGCCTCTCTTTGTCACTCTGCCTTTCACTCACTCACTCACTCACTCACTCACTCACTAACTCTTTGATTCAAACCATAAGGTAAACCCCTAATACACATTTCTGAGGACATATTCCTACTGCCAAGCAACATTCGTCTATATTCTGAGACCTGCAATGTCCGGCTCTGTCTTTATTCTACCCTCATATTTAGCTAATGTTTTTTGTGAATGGATTTCCGGGTTAGGAAGCATTTTCCCATGGAATTTAGAATATATTGCTTAATTGTTTGATGCTTTAGCTAAGAAGTCCAATGTCATACTGATCCCAATTCTTTTTTTTTAAGATGTACTTATTTAATTGAAAGTCAAGAGTTACAGAAAGAGAGGAGAGAGAGAGAGAGAAAGAGAGAGAGAGAGAGAGAGAGAAAATCTCCCATCCCCAAATGACTGCAACAGCCAAGATTGAGATAGGCTGAAGCCAGGAGCCAGGAGTTTCTTCGGGGTCTCCCACATGGGCTCAGGTACCCAAGGACTTGGGCCACTTCTGCTGCTTTCCCAGGTGCATTAGCAGTAGTTGAATCAGAAGTATAGCAGCCGGAACTTGAACTGGTGCCCATATGGGTCGTCAGCACTGCAGAGGGCGGCAGCTTAACCTCCTATGCCACAGCACCAGCCCCATGATCCCAATGCTTTGTGTGAAGCCCGTTTTTCTCTCTCTGGAAAATTGTAGGACCACATTCTTCCCTTTTGTAATCTCCCAGTGAGGTATCTTGGCGTGCAGCTTTCTTCCCGCATTGCAAGAGGAATTCATTCGGAGGTCCGTTTAATTAGGAAACTTGCCTCTCAGTTCAGGACAGCTCTCTTCAATTATTTTATGGATGGTTTCACTCCAGAAATTCTCCCTGTTCTTTTATTGTTTGGAAGAGGAACTTGCTGAAATAATCCTCTCATTTGGATCTAGTCTGTCAATTTTCCACTGCCGTCTTTTGGCCGGTCTGGGCTATCACCTTAAGGTGATCTTCTCGTCTTCTCTTGAGTTTTTCATTTCTGCTATTTTGGTTTGGAAGTTTCAAACTCTCTATTTTTTTAAGTCTCTGAATTTTGTTCTGTTTTGGTTGCTAACTTACTTCTGAGAACACTTGATGGAAGATCTCTCTCTCTCTCTCCCTCAATCTCTCTCTGCAACTCTGCCTTTCAAATAAATAAAATAAAAGAGATATAGTGTTGCCGACGCCGCGGCTCACTAGGCTAATCCTCCGCCTGCGGCGCCAGCACCCCAGGTTCTAGTCCCAGTTGGGGCGCCGGATTCTGTCTCAGTTGCTCCTCTTCCAGTCCAGCTCTCTGCTGTGGCCAGGGAGTGCAGTGGAGGATGGCCCAAGTCCTTGGTTGGGCCCTGCACCCCATGGGAGACCAGGAGGAAGCACCTGGCTCCTGGCTTCGGATAGGTGCAGTGCGCCAGCCGCAACGTGCCAGCCATAGCGGGTGGTGAACCAACGGATAAAGGAAGACCTTTCTGTCTCTCTCACTGTCTAACTCTGCCTGTCAAAATAAATAAATAAATAAATAAATAAAATACAAGAACATAATAGACTCTGGTTAGCTCAGAGAGCAAAGATGAAGGGCTGAACACACTTGGGAGAGGGGTTCTTAGCAGGCCTTCAGTTTGTATATATAGTTTTACCTCCGTGTCCCCAGGGAACTGGGTACAGGACCCCTGCAGATAGTACAATTTGAAGATACTCAAGTCCCTTCTATAAAATGACATCATATTTGTGTAAAATCCAAGAACATTTTCCTAGCCTTTAAATCAAGCCTAGCTTACTTATAACACCTAACAGTAGAAATGCTGTGTAAATAATTGCTATGCTGTATTATTTGGGGAATAATAACAAGAAAAAACATCTGTACATGTTTGGTGCAGATTTTTTACAAAAGTGTTTTGAGAGCCGGCGCCGTGGCTCACTAGGCTAATCTTCCACCTTGCGGCGCCGGCACACCGGGTTCTAGTCCCGGTCGGGGCGCTGGATTCTGTCCCGGTTGCCCCTCTTCCAGGCCAGCTCTCTGCTATGGCCAGGGAGTGCAGTGGAGGATGGCCCAGGTGCTTGGGCCCTGCACCCCATGGGAGACCAGGAAAAGCACCTGGCTCCTGGCTCCTGCCATCGGATCAGCGCGGTGCGCAGGCTGCAGCGGCGGCCATTGGAGGGTGAACCAACGGCAAAGGAAGACCTTTCTCTCTCTGTCTCTCTCTCTCACTGTCCACTCTGCCTATCAATAAAAAAAAAAAAAAAAGTGTTTTGATCTATGGGGTTGCTTGAATCTGCAGATGCAGAACTGTGTCTTCAGGCCTCCTCACTCTTGTGTGCTTTTTGTTGTCATTGCTGTTTTATCCTTGAAAATTGCCTATTTATTTGAGAAACAGAGAGAGAAATTCTGCTGATTCATCCCCCAAATGACAACAGTGACCAAGGCTGGACCAGGCCCAAGCCAGAAGCCAGGCACTCAATCCAAGTCTCACATGTGGTTGGCAAGAACCCAACGACTTGAACTGTTGCTGCTGCCTCCCTGGGCCTGCATTAATAGGGAGTGGAGTCGAGAGCTGGAACCAGGAGTCAAAGTACTCCAATATGGGATATAGGCTTCTTAACTGCTGGGCTAAATGCCTGCTCCTGTGTCTTCAATTCTTTTGTCTAGGCTGGGTTAGTTTCTCCAAGAGAAAGTGTTTCTGATCTCTTTTCTGAGGAGTATAATTCTGGCTACCAGCCCTTTGAGCGCTGAATGGGAGAAAGCTGGGTCTCAATGTTCACATTACACACTTCCTCTTAATTCCTTCATTTCCAGAATGGTTCCATTGCCCCGGACTGAGTTTGGGATCTTGTGGTCTGGAGATCCTCTCTTTATCCTCTCTAGAGTGGAAGCCTCTAGTGTTCTCCTGGGATAAGGTAGGAAAACAGGAATTTTAATTGCTTCTTAATCACACTTTTAATCAATCCTGTGGGGTTTATCCCTGCTTTCACACCCAATTTAAGAGTCATTTGATGCTGCCAGTTCCCAAGGTTTTTGGAAACTCTATGGTATAATCTGATTAGTTTTTGGCTTTCCCCACTGTTTGCTTTCTGAGATCTGCTAAGGCATTTATTGCTAATCTTTCTGCTCTTTGGTTTCTAAAATTTGGTAGCTCTGATCACCTCTCCAATTTTGTTGTTCTGTTGGGTTTTTGCCTAAACAAATCCCCTTACTGTCATTTTGGTGGAGTTTGTGAGGTACTAGAGTCTTCCCTGTGTCTCTAAATTGATATGTAAGATTGTTAGAAGCTGTTATTAGATACCCACTGACATCATGTGGTTCTTCCCTAGGCGTTCTATAATGACAATTTTACTCAGAAAGTTTCGAAGGAATATATGCTTACCCAATAACAGAGGTGAGGGAAAGAAGGTGATTAGGTACCAATTAAATTAATGCATTTACAGTAAGAATAAATGTACCTCCACACTGGGGTAGACAAGAATGTGTTAGACTTTTTTTTTTTAATTAATTAATTTATTTGAAAGTCAGAGTTACACAGAGAGAGAAGGAGAGGCAGAGAGAGAGAGAGAAAGAGGTCTTCCATCCGCTGGTTCACTCTCCAAATGGCTGCAAAAGGGCCAGAGCTGTGCCAATCCGAAGCCGGGAGCCAGGAGCTTCTTCCAGGTCTCTTATGCAGGTGCAGGGCCCAAGCACTTGGGCCATCTTCCACTGCTTTCCCAGGCCACAGCAGAGAGCTGGACTGGAAGTGGAGTAGCCAGGACTCGACCTGGTGCCCATATGGGATGCAGGCACTGCAGGCATGGCGCCGGCCTCTAGATTCTTTAAAATTGCTGTAAGACATGTCTATTGGGTATGGAGAAATGAGAAAGTGAGGTATAGCTTTGTGTGTGTTTGTGTTAATTTTTTTAAACAAAGGTTTATTTTTTTTACTTATTTTGAAGGCATAGCGAGAGAGAGAGAGAGAGAGAGATCTTCCATCCTCTGGTTTACTCTCCAAATGCCCTCAAAAGTCAGGTCTGAGTCTGGCCAAAGCCAGGATCCAGGAACTCCATCCTGGTCTCTTGTGTGGGTGGCAGCGGCTGAAGTACCTGAGCCATCATTTGCTGCCTTCCCAGATGCATTTGCAGGAAGCTGACTCAGAAGTAGAGTAGCAACTTAATTTGCTGCACCACAACACTGGCCACTAGCTTCTGTATTTCAAGCAAGGTTTTTGTGGAGAAAAGAGGGGGTTTTTGAAATAGAAAAAGGAAAATTTCACAAAGGAGGACGTCTTTGTTTCTCAGGGGATGTTACTGTAAGTAGTCCTTTGTCCAGCACTATTTTCTGGGGACAAGGTAGATGACAAGGTGGAAGCATCAAAAAGAGAGTAGAATACTACAGTCATACAAGACTCAGGACGGATCTAGAACGTTACTGGACAAGAGGCAATTAACATTCAGCGCACCAGTGGGCTGGGGCTGAGAAGACAAGGCGTGCCGTCTGTGGTTCAGCAAGTCCCTGCACTCCACCTGTCCCCTAATCATCTTGTCTCTCCCGTTTGTCTCCCTGCCTGGCCGATGTGGGTGCTCGAGTGTGCAGTCTGGCTGCAGAGGACAGGAACACTTCCTTGAGGGCCAGCCGCCACAGACAAGGAGAACACTGGGAAGCAGCCGCCAAGGCAGCAGAGGAAGGGGCTCTCAGTTGCCTCAGCTGCCACAGCACAGCTGTCTTAGAGGAACTGCCCAGTGGACCGTATCAAGCGGCGTTTTTGGGAATTTGGGGTCAGAGTTAAGATGCTGCGGCCTGAAAGCAATGTTTCCCTCTCAGATCGTGAGACCAAGGATGATGAGAACAATCGCCGCCACCACCACCACAGCAGCAGCAGAAATCATTATTTGACATCTTCTGGTGCCATGAGCTGATGTACACATTATATCCAGGAATCTCCGCAAACTATGTAAAATAAATGTTCCTGCTTCCCGGTTGTAGACTTGAATCTGAGAGTAAAATAATGTATCTGAAGACGTATGATAATTAGTGAAAAAGAATTTGATCTTTCATCTGTCTGATCCCAAAGCCTAATGATGATTACAAAGATCATGAATTGCGTCCTCAATTACCGCCTCGTGGTTGCAGTAATAGAAGCCCACCTTAGCTTACAAAGCAAAAGGAGGGGCCAGCACTGTGGCAGAGAAGGCTAAGCCTCCACCTGCAGTGCTGGCATCCCACATGTGCCATTTCAAGTCCCAGCTGCTCCGCTTCTGATCTAGCTCCCTGCTAATGGCTTGGGGAAGCAGTGGAAGATGGCCCCTGCACCCACGTGGAGACCCAGAAAAGCTCCTGGCTCCTGGTTTTGGTCTGGTCCCGGCTGTTGTGACCACTTGGGGAGCGAACCAGTGGATGGAAGATCTCTCTCTCTCTCTCTTTCTCCTCTTTCTCTGTAACTCTGCCTTTCAAATAAATAAATGCTCTTAACAAAAAAGGCAAAAGAAACTATACTGATGAAAAACAAAACCCTCCAAAAAACAGGTAGCCAAAATGAGAGGGCGAGGATCTCACTGGCCCCAGCAATGATTAGCACTGGAGAGCTGAAGGCTGTTAGGGCTCTCTGCTGTCTGTCTTGTCTCTGCCTCCTCCTGAGGCCAGCTCTGTTCTCTTCCATGGCAGCCTGGCTTTCTGCACTGTGGAAGGAGTGCAGGAGCGGGTGATATGTCTCCAGGGAGCCCTTGACTTAATGACCTGAGAAACAACAGAGTCTCCTCTTGGCAGCCCCAGCAAAGAAATTCTGGGAAGAGTCTCAGTAGTTCTGTTTGGATCATGTATCCATCCCTGCACGGATGGCTGTGTCCAGGAAGACATGAGAGTCCATAATGAGGCCCGTAATTCTCTGTTATAAAGTTGGTAGAGTGCCTGTTAACATATGGAGAAGGGGTGAAGGAATGCCAAATAGATAAAAGTAGTAACTACTATGTCTCCAGTCACCTTGGTTTTTAAATGTAAGATTCATTTTACAGTAAACTTGTTATTTTTCTCAGGGAAAAAAAAATTCCCTGCAAGACAAAAATTATCTAATATTCACAAAATAATCTGAACATTCGTGTTCAAAGTTCTTGGAGATCACCTCACTGCCACCCTCACGTACCATCTTGGATCCTCTCAGTAGCTGGTTTGGTGGGTTTTACCAGGTCACAAAGCCCGTAAGCACCGGCTACATAACTTGAACCTTAACAGAGAATAGTCTTGCCTTGTGTGTTTCCAAGTAAGCCAAGTTTACACACAGAGAAAGGATAATAGATTCAGAGAATCGCTGAGTGAAAAGGGAGCTACTATTGAGAAATGATCACCTGAGGGAATCTCATCTTTTCAAAGTCTGGGGGAAAGTTCTCAGCTGCTACAGGGCTGATTGTGTTGTTGAAAAGATGAGATGAAGCATGTGAGTGAACACAAAATTCCGGGGAAGTTTGAACTATGAAACCAACTTAAAAATAGAAGAAATGAAAGTGTGCTCAATTGGCAAGTGTTAAATGCTTTCCACTTCCCTCCCTTATTCTATGAGATAAGGATCCACAACAATGAAAGAAAATGAAGAAGCTACATTTTGTTTGCATGTGTGATTGTATTCATCAGCTTCTTGTCACTATCACAAAATACCCGAGATAAGCTACTTATGGAGGAAGAAGGTTTAGTTTGGCTCACTGTTTTGGATGTCCGTAGTCCAAGACTGAGCAAGCTCCACTGTTGGTTCTTGGAGGCTGGCAACAGCAGTGGATGTGTGGAAGAGGGGATCACACAGTGGGCCAGGAGACAAAGAGGGAGCAAACTCCTAGTCTGTGTATGTGATTCTCCTTGTACCGCCACCATGATCTGATCATGGGGCGCCACCATAACCACCTAATCCGATTTAATCACTTCCCAAAGTTACTGCCTTCAGACAGTCTTGTTGGGGTACGGTTTGCCTTTAATCCATTAGCTGTTAACATTGGTCCACCAATCATTTATGGAACACTCTGGGGACCAAGTCTAACACATGGGCCTTCAGGGGACACCCAAACTAATGTCCAACCCTTAGCTCTACTGTCAGATTCACATTTTTTTGAAACATAAATCTGGCTATGGTTTTGAGAATGTATTGGGAAGCAATGGGATGAGAGACAGGGAGACTATTTAGGAGTCTTGGGATAATGTAGAAAAAAGCTAAGGATGACCTTGACTAGGGAAATAGCCAAAAGTTGGAGAGAAATGGGTGGCTTTGAGAATAAACACAGGATATTAGCACTTTGTGATTGATTAGAAATGGGGTGGAGGGAAGAGAAGAGTGAAGAATTGGCACCATCCCCCAACTAGGTTTTTAGTTTGGGTATCTAGATGTACGAAGATACCATTTGTTGAGATAAGAAATCAGAAGGAAGAATGTGTTTGGGTGGGAGGAGATTCTGAGCAAATTGAGATTGGAAGTTTATAGTTATGTTTGCATATACACTCAAGAACTGGAAAGAAAGGGAGAAGGAAGGAGGGTGAAAGGGAGACAGGGGGAGGGAGTGAGGAAGGGATATCATTATGTTCATAGAATTGTAGCCACAAACCACATTGAATCTGCTGAAAACTAATTACAAATCAAAATAAAAAAGTATAAAAACTGTCTCCAATTAGCCACCACACAAATCCTGTTGATTTTCTTCCTTGATTTTTTCCTATCAGTTCTTTCTTTTCTATTTTTTCTTCTATCACTACAGTTCTATTAAAGATAAATGTATGCATATTTAAATTTTAATGAGTTTATTTGAACATCAGCAATTCATGAATTGGCCATCCCTAGACAGCCTGCAAATGGCTCAGTGTTCCCCCAGCTTGGGTGGGGTGGGGGTAGGGGGTGGAGAAGAGAACTGATAAGGTGTTCTCAGAGGGAAGACAAAGAAAATATATTTTTTCTTGGTTGGTCAAAGTGGAAAGTCCCTAGTTAGAAGTTAGCTGGCAGTTTCTGATTGGTTAAATCTAAGTTTCCTTTTATTGATTACATTGAATTGGGGTTTACTTTGTTTACATAAGAGTTCAAGGATCTGAGACCATCTCAGCCTAATAATCTCTGCATAACAATTCTAGTTCCCATTGTCTCACATTTGGAGAGATGAAACACTGACTGTGCTGCTCTTCTAATATTCAGTCTTTTTTTCCTTTTTTTTTTTTTTAAAGATTTATTTTATTTACTTGAAAGACAGAATTACAGAGAGAGGTAGAGACAGAGAGAGAGGTCTTCCATCTGCTGGTTCACTCTCCAGATGGCCACAACAGCCAGAACTGTGCCGATCTGAAGCCAAGAGCCAGGAGCTTCCTTCAGGTCTCCCATGTACGCGCAGGGGCCCAAGGACTTGGGCCATCCTCTACTGCTTTCTATTGCTTTCCCAGGCCATAGCAGAGAGCTGAATCAGAAGTGGCGCTGCCAGGACTCAAACCAGTGGCTTTAACCTGCTGTGCCACAATGCCGGCCCCCTAGTATTCATTCTACACAGAGCTACAGTATTCATCTACCCCAAATTGGCTTTGCTGGGTCATCCCCTTCCATTTCATGACATTCCCATGCTTCCCCATTGCTCACTTTCAATTACTGCTTCCAACTGGCTCCTAATTACTTCAGCTTTACCTCACGCTCTCCTGAGAGTTTATCTCAGTCTGGTCATAGTAGAAGTTCAGGGGCCAGTGCTGTGGTACACAGGGTTGAATCTCCATCTGCAGTGTCAGCACCCCATATGGACGTTGTAAGTTCTGGGTTTCGGCACCAATGTAAGGTCCCCACAAAACACCAAACACCAGAGTAAGGGAAAGGGTTTATTGGGGAGAACCCAGCAGGCCGGAGGGAAGGGGCAAGGAAGGAAAAAGAGAGTAAGAGAGAAAGAGGGGAGAGGAGAGAGGAGCACAGAGAGAAGAGAGAGCAAGCGAGGGGAAGGAGAGAGGGGAGCAAGAGAGGAGAGGAGACAAGAGAGAGGGAGAGAGAGAAAGAGAGCCATGTGTTCAGGAATAGGTCCTTTTAAAACTTTGCCAGAGGACAGGCAGGGAAGTAGGAGCAGCGAATCCCGTTAGGATGGGGGTGGAGCTTGACACCAGTGGTTGGGCCTTGTGGCCACCTGGCTTCCAGCAATGGCGGTGGGGGCTAGAGCCTAGGATGGCTAGGATTCGCCATTTTCCTAACAGACGTGGGTTCGAGTCCTGCCTGTTCCACTTTGGATCCAGCACCTTGCTAATGTGTCTGGGAAAGCAGCAGAAGATGGCCCACATACATAGGCGACCCAGAAGAAAATCCTAGCTCCTGACTTTGGATTGGCCCAGCTCTGGCTGTTGCAGCCATTTTGAGAGTGAAACAGCAGAGGAAGCTCTCACTCTCTCTAATTCTGCCTTTCAAATAAACAATAAAATAAATCTGTAAAAAAAAAAAAAAAGAACTTCAAATACAATACCCTCCTTCTGTCCATGCCACTGCCCTCATGTTTTTGTGTTTGCTTCTCTTTTCTACTCATCAGACTCTTAAAACTCAGCCCCAAAGGGCCAAATCTTCCTTCTCACCATTCTATCTCAATCTAGTCCCTCCTTTGAATGTCCAAGTTGCTGGCTGTGCCTCTCATTAGCATTTATTCCCATGTTGCATTGTTTTGCAATTCCCTATTCATTTAATTTCTCTATACCAGATTGAGAACAATGATTAGATATCACATTACTCTCATATTCTCCAGACTACCTAGCGTAATCCTGTGTACAAGGTAAGCATTCTGTAAGTATTTGTTGACTTGAAATACGTACTAAAGTACATTTTTTTCTTACCCACTACTCTTATCTCTGCCTGAGCAAATGAGGTCGATACGCAAAAGTAGTTAAGATAAAGCACGTAAAGTGGAAGAACAAACAGGCGACAGAGGAGATTTTAATGAAACTATGATATTAAAAATAATAATTATCTACTAAATCTATTTTTTAACTTTAAAGAAGTCAAAGTCTTCCTTTTAACCTCAAACATGTGTGTGTATATTTAAGTATGAAAGGTCACATGAATCTTAAAAGGTAGAATTATTATTTTTAAAATATTTGGTAATAAAAATAAACTCTTTTTAAGCTAATAATTCTTGTGATTTTTAAATGATTTCATAGCAAAGCTCATTAAATTTTTAGTATAGATCACCTATTTTGACTCCAAATTGATATTGGAAAGAAAATCTCATTACTTTAAAAAAAATCAATGATAAATAAAATACTTATATCAAGTTTATTGGCATAGATAGCAATAGATTTAGTTATAAATCCAAGGCTTCAATAAAATAAGCTTGGAGTTAGAAATTATGCACTAATTAAAAAAAATAAAAAGGAAAAGGCTTCGAATATGTGATTCAATGTGAACATTTTCCGTGTAATAAGCTCTCTGTTTTTATTACAAAATTAGACAAGTCAACATAAAGTATGTTTAAGTCAACAGAAACTGTTCTAGGTAAGTGAATTTAATCTTCAAGGTCACTGACACACAATATAATCTTGTTTCTCTCAAGATTTTATTCTGCAAGTAACTAAGTGACTCACAAGCTCAGAAAATATTTTCTGGTACAGGTAAGTCTGTGCTTAGCATGAAATAGTCTAAATATTTCTTCTCCTCTTCATACAAGTATTTCAAAAATAACAGCTCCTTCCTGGAAGGTGTAACTGGATTTTTTTAGGAATGTCTACAAATGATTGTCCTTTTGTGGAATGTATTTTAGGACAAGCTAGAATATACTTTTTTCCCCTTTCTCCATCCATCAAACTTACTTTATGATTTAGTTCAGATGCCACCTCTTAAATCATCCACTGCATTTTTTCTAGGAGGAGGAGTAACACTGATTTTATTTTTTAAGTTTCATTTGTTTTATTTGAAAGGCAGAGGTATAGAGACAGAGAGAGAGGTCTTCTGTCCGCTGGTTCACTCTGCAAATGGCCGCAATGGTCAGAGCTGGGCTGATCTGAAGCCAGGAGTCAGGAGCTTCTTCCAGATCTCCCATGTGGGTGTAGAGGCCCAAACATTTGGGCCATCCTCCGCTGCTTTTCCAGGCACATTAGAAGGGAGCTGGATCAGAAGTGGAGTAGCTGGGACTCAAACCGGCAGCTATATGAGATTCTGGCACTGCAGGAGGCCATCTTACCAGCTATGCCACAATGCTGGCCCCATAACACTGCTCTTAATGTTTATTTCAACTCACCAATTTTCATGGTTGGTATGTATGTTTGGTTGCACCCATAAAAGTTATAAGTGCCTCATGGGAACTACAAATTATTCAAGTCTGCATCTCTATTTGTACCTTAACATTGTACTTTGCATGTGGTAAGTGATTAGTAAGTGAATATATTTTACTTTTAAGTATTTAAAAAGCTTTGTAAGAATAATGCATGGGGCTGGTGTTGTGGCATAGCGGGTAAAGCTGCCACCTGCAGTGCCAGCATCCCATATGTGTGGAGTCCCAGCTGCTCCACTTCTGATCCAGCTCTCTGATTTGGCCTGCTAAAGCAGTGGAAGATGGTCCAATTCCTTGGGCCCCTGCACCCGCATGGGAAGATCCCGAAGTTCCTAGCTCCTGGCTTCGGTTCGAATCAGTGCAGATCCGGCCCTTAACGGCCATCTGGGGAATGAACCAGCAGATGGAAGACACTTCTCTGTCTCTGTCTCTCTCTCTCTGCCTCTGCCTCTTTGTAGCTCTGCCTTTTAAACAAATACATAAATCTTAAAAAAAAAATGCATAATCATTGTTAAAAATAAATGCTAGAGAAAAGATAGTTATAAAGACAAAAACAATAGCCCCACCCCTCACTTTGTCTACCACTAATCTTGTTTACTCGAGGGAATCACCTTGAGTTTGGAACCATTTTTGTTTTACCTTCTTTTGTTTTAAGTTATACTTTTTTTTTTTTCACTTAATGATGTACATAGTTATCTACTTATTTTTCCTTTCAGACATTTCCTATTAGGGGAGATGCCTGTTATGAGACAAGAGAATCTTTGACCTTACTTCTATATCTACCTTTATCTCATGCTGGAGTTGCTCTTATTTCTCCAAGATTGCATCCAGCTCCTAGGGCCAAGGGAATATTCTAGGAGCCTTTTGTCTTCTCCCTGCAGTTTGGATAGCTTTCTCTCCAAGGCTGTTCCTCTGCTGGCATGCGTGTGTTCTCTTCTTTATTCTTAGTTGAACTGACTGTTTTCTAAATCTTGTATCTTCTTCTTTTTGTTTTTCTCACCTACATTTTGTGGGAGTATATGGTTTGGAAACTTCCTAATAAAGGGCATTTTGGGCAGAATATGTCCCTAGTCCTCCTTGTGTTATATTTGATTTATGATTTGGTTGGGTAAAGGATTCTGTATTGCAAGTCATTTTCCCTCAGAGCATAGGCATTTTCCTGAGACATTGTCAATCTCCTGTCTTTACTTCAAATAAAGAAATATTTGTTAAGTGCCTACCCAGCTGTTCTACTAAGTGCCCACAAAGTGGAGATAAATGGATTCTTTGCATACTGTCTATCTGCTTACCTTCATGTGCTAGCCATACAGTACTTTGCAAGAACATGTACTGTGGAAACTTGAATCACTGAGAAGCTACCAATACAGCAATATATATAAAACCTTCATATCCAAAAGCTTCTCTTTTTTTTAAGGTTTATTTTATTCATTTGAAAGACAGAGTTACAGAGAGAGGTAGAGACAGAGAGAGGTCTTCCATCTGCTGGTTCACTCCCCAGATGGCCGCAGCGGCTGGAGATGCGCCGATCCGAAGCCAGGAGCCAGGAGCTTCTTCTGGGTCTCCCACGTGGGTGCAGGGGCCCAAGGACTTGGCCATGTTCTACTGCCTTCCCAGGCCATAGCAGAGAGCTGGATCGGAAGACGAGCAGCCAGGACTAGAACCCGGCGCCCATATGAGATGCCGGTGCTTCAGGCCAGGGCTTTAACCTGCTGCACCACAGCACAGGCCCCCCAAAAGCTTCTGACCTTGATTTAGATTTGACCTTCATATCTTAAAGACAGGAATGAAAAACTTTTGGGCACTTTTTTACTTGCATGAAGTTTGATATTAATTCACACTCTGAATAAAGGCCAGTCACTGTCGGTTTTCTCTTTCTCTCTTAAGCAGACTTTGCCATCTCTGCAAGCTTTTTACTATGAACTCATGGACCATTGAGAAGTACTAAGTGAAACACGTTTCCTGGGTTCAAACAAGTCGTGGTGAGCAATGTCAGGGTGGACTCCATTTCTATGACGTCTGTCGGGCACTGCTCACATCTGCTGTCCTGTCCTCTCCTTGCGGCCCGTGTAACTCCAAGGCAATGATTTCCAGTCAAGTGATAATTCATCCTGTTTGCCATGAAGGGAAGGAGTTGCATCCCCCGAGGATGCTTCCATTTGAGCAGGTTGGGCCAGGTTATTTAGTGGCTGGATGCCCAATGATTGCACAATATACCACTTGGTGGGGTGTGCTTACTAGGAATTTTGTCGTGGATGGCTAAATGGGTCTGTCACATGCCAGGCGAGCTTAATTTCTTCAGACAGACAACATATTTCTCTGTGTGGTCTTGGAAGAGCCCTCATTATTCATCTTGACTTTTGTCATTGGTAATCAGGACTACTTAATAATAGCTTGATGATATAGCCACTGTGGCCTGATTAAACAAGGAAATTCAGAAAATGAATGCTCCATATGGCCTCATTTGTCAACACTGCCATATTCATGGGTGGGACACACACACACATGCCTGTACACATGGAATTTCTGGTGTGAGACTTCGTTCCTTTGCCAGCCTTGCCATCTATCATTGCATTCCAGATCCTATGTGATTTAAATTGATAATGAGTTACAGGCTTAAAATTATATGCTATGGAATGACTCATTATGCATAGACATATTTCTATCATCCAAGTGGCTTCTTTTAATTAGAGGACTGGGAAGCTCTAAGAATGTGGATTTGTTCAATTGTGGGAGAATAATCCTTTCCTTGGTGAGCTCCGAGTTGAGTTGCACATGGTGTTGGTTATGGCTCTCTCTAATGAAACTCATTTCCTTTTTTAAAGTTTTAGTTGGTGTTGGTTTGGTGTTGCTGGCATTTAAAACTTAAACAATCCCAAGTTTTAAGCTACACTGACTTCTCAGGAGGACCCACTAAAGCCAAGATTTCCACATATACCCTTCCCTGCAGAGGTTTTGGAGAGAAATAAAACTTGAATGTGATATCTCAGACCTCAAGAGTGTCCTAGGGCTGGCTTTCTTGGCTATCCTACTTTCCTGACTTTTTCTCTCCTTTCTCCCTCAGTCCTTTTAATAATTTCCCTTTTCTTCAAACTGCTACCATGGTGGCTTTTTAAGATGTATTTAAGCCTCAAGAAATAAAGGCACTTTGTACTTCTTAGAGTTAATGTCCCATCTGTGAATTGAGACCAGTTCATCTCTGCTTTCCAACTGTGAGTTTTTTTTTTTTTATGGGATAGATAATTCTGTGTGAAAAAAGGGTCCCACTGCCCGATGGGTTCTTAGACATCACACAGCAGGATGTCTAAGAGCCACTGCAGCTCAGGAATCCTGGGGCTGTGCAGAATGAAATGACTGAGCCAATGAGCTGGTTAGGAAAAAGATAGCAAGAGTCTTAAATTATTATTTGTTCAGGAAGAGGCTTAAGGACTCTGGGACAGATTCAACCCCTTAATTCCACACGTACACTTTTCACTGCAGCTAACATCTCACATGGTTATCTTGACTGAAGTCTTTGGAGAACACACAGAATGTGTTGATAGGTCTTATATCACACTGTAACTTGGGTGCTTGGCAGGCAAGCATACTTCTCTCTTTCAAAAAAAATTAATATTTGCTTGATTTTCTGATAAAAACGAATACTACAAAAGAATATTGCAAAACCTTGAAGTGTTTGGCAGGCTTTCCCATGTGGGTGGAAAAATGTTGTTCTGGAGCCAAACTAGAATTGCTCATAAAATATAGCATAAAAAAATCCATTTAAAAAGGAGCCTTGATCCTGAAAAAAAAATACATATGTAAATGTATAAAATAACAAAGCTTATGGACCTTACCAGCATGTATTATATAAACACAATGATGTAACCAGGATGTTATGAAAATGGTAGATCTCTGATATTAGAGATAAATGAAGTCTCTATTATGGTGAGTTTTACCTTTATCAGATTCTCACTGTGTTTGGATCTCTGTCTCTGTGCTATGGATTTGTTTGTGTCTTGCGTCTACCCACATTCTACCTCTCTCTTTGTTATATAGCCTAGCATGATGTCTTGCTGTGATGTCTTGCTTCTCAGAAAGGAAGGCTGTTTAAAGCTGGAAGATGTGTTAAGGTTGTTTTTATTCTTATTTGGCCTATAAACATTTAAGCACTTGGATAGCCCAAGTTCAGAGCCAAAATTTCTCCCCTTATGCATGCTTCCTCTGAACTTCTACTCATATCTGATTTCCATATGTCTTCCTTTTACCCAGTCATCACCTCTTACTTGTAAACGCTTCAGCACAGTTGTGGTCCCTCCTTATGCTTCATAATAAATATACAGGATAAGGGAGGATGAAGAGGGTTGTAAAGTGTTAGTTGATTGGGCAAAAGAGTCAGTATTTTCAATTAAATGATTTATTTATGTTAAGATGTATTTATTTGAAAAGGAGAATTACAGAGAGAAGGAGAGACAGAGAGATAGAGATCGAGATCTTCCATCTGCTGGTTCATTCTGCAAAGACCCACAACAACCAGGTTTGGGCCAGGCCAAACTCAGGAACTATATTGTGAGGTTCTGTGTGGAAGGCAGGGGACCAGTGCTTGTGCTTCTGCCTTCTGCTGCCTTCCCAGGTGCATTAGGAGGAAACTGGATCAGAAGCAGAGTAGCCGGGATTCAACTGGCACTCCGATACGGGATGCTAACATTACAAGTGGTGGCTTAACTTGCTGTGCCACAGTGTCAGTCCCTTAAGGACTTAAGTTTGTTTTTGATTTTTTTTATTAGTTAAGGAGACATAGATTAAGATGTTTTTCCTAAGCATCAGCCCATAGAGATCACTCTTCTTTTCCTCATGGCCATCTGGTCTTTCTACAGAGCACAATAAATATAGGCGATGCACTCATGAATCCCCTTAGGAAGGAATGATGTCTACATGAGTTGACTTTTTATCCTATCTCTTAGGTCCTGGCACTGTACATATTCATGGTGCTTCTTTGTTAGTTAGCCAGTGCTAATTTCCCCTAAATTAGAGGAACTACTTCTTGCTAAATGAGGGAATAGAAAGAAAAGATGCGGCAGAGCAGGTTGGGGATTGTTCCAGGTGAAGGGGATTCTACAACTTAGCAAGAGGAGTGGGAGAAATAGATTACCTTTCTCGAGTAGTATTTATTGAGGAATCAATGACGCATTTGTTGAGTCCTTCCTGTATTGCCAAAAGTCAAATAGGCAGTGTGAGAATCAATGATAGACCTGACACGTATTTTTGCCTTAACAGGAACTTAGGATCTGGTTGGGCAATCCATAGTTTGCATATCAAATGAAAGCATTATATTCGTTAGGATTGTCTGAAATACTGAAAGAGCTTTGAGAAGGAACAGATCAGTGATGCAGACAAAAGCAAGAACAAACTGAAGGAGGCAAAGCACGAGCATTGGAGGATTTTAGGTGGAGTTTGAGGCTCCTGGCCAGAGACACGAGCCATGGCCTGAGGGGCCACACTTGAAGTTTGTTAGGAAGTGAGCCTTGCTATGTAGCTGTGTTTAAGGAACATCAATGAAGGCAAATGACTTTAGACTTGATGCAGAGAGAATGTAGTGGGTTCCTAATGAAAGCGATTTGCTAGGAAGACAAATCTGCCAGTAGGGGATAGAGTGGAATGAAATAGGGAGATACTGGAAGCTATTGGATTTACTGAAAGCCCATTTTGTAGAAAAATAATTTACTGGGGGCCAGTGTTGTGGCACAGCAGTTTAAGCAGATGCCTATGATGCTAGCATCCCATGGGAGTGTTGGTTCAAGTCCTGGCTGCCCCACTTCCAATCCAACTCTCTGCTATTGCCCCTGGGAAAGCAGCAGAAGATGGCCCAGGTACATGGGCCATCCTGTGGGAGACTCAGATGGAGTTTCTGGCTCCTGGATTCAACCTGGATCTGTCCCACCCACTGTGGCCATCTAGGGACTGAAATAGCAAATGGAAGATTCTCTCTCTCTCTCTGTCTTTCAAACAAATAAATGAATAAACTTTAAAAAATAATTTACTGCTGTGAAATTAATATAGCATGAAATTAATTGGTTTAAAATAAACAACTCAGTAGCATTTAGTACATTCACTCTATCTAGTTCTCAAACATTTCCATCATCCCAGAATAAAACCCCATGCCTACTAAATGTGGTTTCTTGCTATTCTCCCCTCTCTCCAGCCTTGGACAACTGCTGATTCTCTCTCTGCATTTATTGATTTTGGATATTTCAGATCAATGAGATCATGTAATTTCTGTGTTTGACTTTTTAAAAAATATTTAATTATTTATTTGAAAGAGTATTGTAAGGAGGAAAGGGGGGCAGGGAGAGAGAGAGAGAGAGTGAAAGAGTGAAAGAGAGAGAGAGTTTCCATTCACTGGTTCACTCCCCAAGTAGCCTCAGTGGTTGGGGCTGGGCTAGGCTAAAGCCGGGAACTTCATGGATGGCAAGGGCTCGAGCACTTGGTCCTTCCCAGGTGCATTAGTGGGAGCTGGATCAGAAGTGGAGCAACTGGCAAATGAACTGGTGCCCATTTGGGATGCCAGCATATGGGATGCATCTCTTCTCTTTTCTTTTTTTAAATATTCTGATTTTTAAAAAGATTTATTCATTTACTTAAAGGCAGAGTTACAGAGAGGCAGAGGCAGAGAGAGAGAGAGAGAGAGAGAGAGGGAGTTCTTCCACGCATTGGTTCACTCCCCAAATGGTTGCAGCAGCTGGAGCTAGGCCGATCCAAAGCCGGGAGCCAAGATTTTCTTCTGGGTCTCCCATGTGTCTGCAGGGACTCAAGCAGTTGGGCCATCTTCTACTGCTTTCTCAGGCCATACCAGAGAGCTGGAGCCGAAATGGAGAAGCTGGGTCTTGAACCGGTGCTCATATGGGATGCCGGCACTGCAGGGGGCGGCTTTACCTGTTGTGTTACAATGTCAGCTCCTGTGTCTGGCTTCTTTCACTTGGCACAATGTTCTTGTTTTTTAATTTTT